TTTTTTTTTCTTCGAACAAGAATGTATCCATGTGTAATCACTGCTATATAACGCCCTCTCTTAATCTTAGATGCTATGCGTAGTTTTCATGCAATGATGAAATAGTGTATGTATGTAGTTTATCACACAATCATAGATGTTTACATCATCTTGATCATTGTTATATGTCATTTTGCATATAAGAAAAATGGCTTTAGCTAAACGTATAAAATATCCGAGTGTTATTGAAAGATATTATACAAAATATTATCGTACTAATGTTCATAATGAATTAAATAATGATATGCTTGTACTTGTTCATTCAAATCGTGTTTGTGTTTTAATGCTTTCTGAACAACATCCAATTATAGAAAAATCTTTACTAATTAATTCAATTGAATCATTAGCTAATATTAATCAATCTATGAGTGGTAAATCAAAACGTGGTGCTGATTATGTTCAACCAAATAAATTACTTTATCGTATAAAATGTGAAAATAATCAAAATTTTACTATATGTGCAAGTATAAAAGGACGTTTAGTTGAATTAAATGATGAAATTATAAAAACACCTGAACTTTTACAAAACAAATCACAAGGTGAAGGTTATTTAGCAATACTTATTCCATCTTTAAAAGATGGAGAAAATAATCTAAAATTATTAATAAATGAGCAAGATTATATTTTATCAAAACAATCTTCATAAATCATTCCTTCATTTTCTTTAAGCGTCAGTTATGAAAAATATGAACAGTTTACTTTCTTTTTTTTTTTCGTTTTTCTAGATTTTTTTTTCTTTCCTTTTGTTTACTTGTCTTCTTGAGAGTAAGGAAGCATGAGCATGTGGTTTTTTTTGTGTTGTGCATCTTCCCTGTGTTTATCTCTTTTTTGCTTGTGTATTAAACAATAAATGAGATTTATTCTCTAATCTTCTAGTTAAACCAAAATAATGGGTTGGGAAGAATTACCAACTATTTTATTAGAAGAAATCTTCAGTCTTTTACCAATTCGGTATCGTTATTATTGTTCTCAAGTTTGCCAATCATGGTATATATTAAATTGATTTTGAAAATTTATTTATATTAATTATTATCTATCTTAGGTATAGAACATTTCATTCACCTTTTATTTGGCAAACATTTATATTTGATGGTAATATATTTACACGAAGAAAATTTAATTTATTTCGTGGTTATGAACGCATTCTTAATTCATATCGAGTTCAACTTTATTTACCACGTAAAAGTCAATATTTGAAACAATTAATTATAAAACCAATTCCTGAATATCATAATATGTGTGATTTTCTTAATATTTTAACAACTTTTTTTCATTATTATGGTTCAGATAATTATCCATTTCCACATCTTGAAGAATTTTCATTTACATTTTATGTATTAGTATCAATTGATGATGATACAAATAATCAAGGTAATATTGTAAATGCATATTATCAACATCCAAATGCATTTATACGTGGTAAAAAACGTTATTATGGTACCGGTGGAATTATTTTACAAACATTACGTCGTTTTATATCATCATTACATTGTTTAAAACGTTTTCATTTAAATAATCTTTTACTTGAATCAGATTCTGATATAGGTGCATGTCTTAATGAACTTCTTGAAAATTCAAGTGAAACACTTGAATATCTTGAAATACTTAATTATTCATCACATATTGTACCATTGTATATAGTTGGATTATTTTCAAATTTATATTCAATATCAATTAGTTCACATTCATTAAATGATGATGTTCTTCTTTTATTTGCTAATCATCTTATTCATTTACATAAATTAAATATTATACAAGATGAATTAACAATACCTTGTCGTTATTCTGATTCAGTTTGGACAGAAATTGATATTATTTTACAAGAAAATAGACGAGAATGGTATATTCGAATGATAACAAAAGGTAAATGTAAAAATGAACCATTTTGGCCGAATAATCCAGCACAAGTACGAGCTATTATTTATGATACAAGTTTAATTAAATTAGTACAAACTTCAATTTATACTTGTATGGAACAATATAGTAAAACATTGGAAATTTATGTAAGTAATAAAAGAAAATTGTGATCAGAAATATTTTAAATAAATATCTTATAAAATGAAATCTAATTATCTCAATTGAAACTGATTTATCATGAGAATGTCGAAAAATATAGCGAGTAGACTTTGCTATTGTTATACTTTATTTCAAATTCGCATCGTATGGACGAAATTTTGTATTTTTTAGATGACAAGGGAACTACATCGATTGTCATTCGTCGTTTGAGTTCATATTGTGCCGAAGAGTCTTTCGAGTCGAGTTTGAACTATTTCATTGAATTTTCGATCCCATTTTGAAGTGCTTACTGAAAAATCAAATAATTGATATTTGGATCTGAAGCTTTGCCTATAAATAGATCTGATGACTCTTAAGAATATCCTGAAAGTTTCAGCCAAAAAGAATATTTCTTTGTCTCGAATTCGGCTTGTGCGACATATCTATGACAAACGACTATTTCTTAAGAAATCTATTATCACATTAAAGAAACATTCTCTTCAGCTGAAACTTTCAGGATATTCTAAGAGTCATTAAATCTATCTGTGGGCAAAACTTCAGATCCTAATTTCATTATTTGATTTTTCCAGTAAATACCCAAAACTAAGTCAACCGTTTAGCGAAATGGCCATAATTCGGTTCCAAAAACCTATGGAAATGAACCCTTCTTGACTTTTGCTAGCTGTACTAAAGTATCCTTATAGGCTCAATGTGAGTTTAAACAGCGGGTTACAGTTAGAATCCTGTACGGGGTCGTTTTCGGAATCGTTGTGGGAGTCAATTAATTTTTTTGTTGAAAATTTAGTTTTAGTATAAGAACTTTTTTGACTTGAAGATCTTATACTAAAAATAAATTTTAAGCAAAAAAAATTAATTGACCCCGACGACGATTCCGTGCAGAACTCTAGCTATAATTGGGATAGTTCCTACCTAAGTAAAAATTTCGCAAATTTTTTTTGGTCTGCCCAAGACAAGAATCATTTCTTCTTTGTTTATTTATAAATACACAAGATAGTCGGTTTTGAAAAGTATGAAAAAGAAAAGTCTGTCACATTTCTATTATTAAAACAAAAAAAACTCATCCGCGAAAATTAAATTCTATTATGAATTTTTTTTTTTGTTGATTAGGCTCATCTCAAATCAATGTGTCGTGTCTACATACCACGTTCATTTTTAGAACGTGGTGATATGGCCTATATAGGTCTTGTTAAAACAACTCAATATTTACATACATTAGCAATAAGAGAACGAATTTCAACTGCAACTTGTCTTCTTATTGCATATTATGGTACAAAACATAATCTTAAATATTTTTATCTTAGACGTAATTGTGTTATTTTACGAAATGAATATCGACAATATATATTTAATGAATTCGATGATAATAATGAACAAATGCATATATGGTTAGAAAAAAATTGTCGACAATATAATAATGTAGAAGATGCAGTATCATTATTATTTGGACGACGATGGAAAATGCTTAGTGATTGGGAATACAATCAAATTCATGTTTGACTTTCAGCCCTTAGTTTTTTTGTTATTTTTATATATAAAATCCAGCGTTCCTTGTTAATCTTACATAATAAATATAAAAGCATAGCAAAAACAAAATATTTATTATTTAGAACTTATAAGAATTATTATTAACTAAAGTCAAAAATCAAGTTTGACAAACAACGAAAAATAAATAAAAGAAATTTTATCTTCGAAAAAAAAAACAGCAATAGGTATGAAAAAAGTATACAAACTTTAAATCATTCATCAATATCTGAAACTACTTATCAAAAGAGATACTTGAGTTTTTTTGTCGCTGTTCGCAAGTCAAAAGTTATATATTCATTCAGAAGTTTTCATTGTATCTCATATCATATTTATTCTTTAAATTTCATAGAAATGCTATCGAAAATAAAAACGACTCAAGCGAAACAACGAATCTCTTATACGAATGATTATATTCCAAAAGATTTTATCTGTATAATCACAGCACACTATTTGTCAATTAATGATAATTTATAATAAAAAAAAATGGAGGCAGTGGGGATTGAACTCACGACCTATCGCATGCGAAGCGATCGCTCTACCACTGAGCTATGCCCCCAGTATGCCGCTGATAAAAAACTTCTTTAGTGACAAATATCAAATTTTTACTAAAAAAAAACCGAAGAATTTATATTCCAATCAATTCTTCTCATTATCAGATATCAAATACAATTTAATTTCTATTTTTCAATTTCATTAAATGATTTCTATTTTTTTTTTGTTTTTTGTTTTTAATTATCATGCCGAACTATAGAAAACAATCAAACGATTATAAAGAAAAAAAAAACAAAAAAGCTATTGAAAATGTTTATTTGTTCTTGTTATCTTTATCTTTATCTTTATCTTCATCAGATTCTTGTTGTTGATCAGATGATGAAGTACTGCCTGATGATGATGATGATGATTGAGAACTTTCACGATCAGATTGCATCTAAAGTCAAATACATATACCTTATATTATGAAAAACAAAAATCAATTCATACTTTTTTATAAGCCGTTTCAAATAATCTCAAACTTTGTCTTTGAAATTCATCAGCTGCTTCTTTTATATTTTGAACAGATTCATTATCTTTATTTGATAATTTTTCACGTAATTTTGAAGCGCCTTCTTTTAATTTCGAATACTAAAAAAAAACCACTCAATTAGATGAATTTTTTTCAATAAAAAACTTGTTACTTCATCCGATGGTAATTGATCTTTATATTCTTCCATTTTTGATTCTGTATCATGTAAAATTGATTCAACACGATTAACTTCTTCAACCATTTCACGTCGTTTCTTATCATCAGCTGAATATTTTTCTGCAGCACGAACCATATTTTCAATATCATCTTTACTTAAACCACCACTTGATTGAATAACAACTAAAAAAACAAAGATATTTTTATAATTAAATTAATAAGATTTTTGTATTACTTTGTTGTTCTTTTCCAGTACCACGATCACGTGCTGATACATGTACAATACCATTAGCATCAATATCAAATGTAACTTCAATTTGAGGAACACTAATTTAAATAATAATTAAGATTAAATTTAAAATTTCTTTCTTTTTTTTTTTCTTACCCACGTGGTGCAGGTGGAATGCCAATCTAATGAAAACAAAAAGGAATTAAAAATTTTAATTTTTTTTTTTTTGTTTCAATTTACTAAATTAAATCTTCCGAGTAATTTATTATCAGCAGCCATTTCACGTTCACCTTGATGTACTTTAATTTCAACTTGTGTTTGACCATCAGCAGCCGTTGAAAAAACCTATACAAAAAAAAACAAATTCATCATCGATTTCAACTATATCATATTTTTCTTAATGTAAAACTTACTTGACTTTTTTTTGTTGGTATCGTTGTATTACGATTAATAAGTTTTGTAAATACACCACCTAATGTTTCAATACCCAATGAAAGTGGAGTAACATCAAGAAGAAGAAGATCAGTTACATCACCACCAAGTACACCACCCTGAATTTTTTATATTGAATTTAATAATAAAAAAGAATTCGAATAAAATAAAAATTTACTTGAATAGCAGCACCCATAGCAACAGCTTCATCAGGATTAACAGATTTATTTGGTGATTTACCAAACAATTCTTGAACAGTTTGTTGTACCTTAATAATAGAGTATGGATGAGACTTTAAGCATACGTTTATATACATATGAAAAATAGATTAGAGCTGGGTAATTTGTTCACTTCGTTTTTTTTTAATCATGAAATCAATTCAATGATTTATTTCGCAACGTCTTTCGATCAAGTTTTCAAGTCACACCCGTACTCCTAAAAGGGTGTAGAGGAGGAGTACAGGTTTTGCCACTGCATTGATTTTAACAAAAATGAAACATTTTGAGGGCAAAAAAACGGTCTTATCCGCTTTCATCTTTTTAGATAAAATGTATTGTATTAAAATGCGAAGGTCAAATAAATAGTTAATTTGATCTTATGTAAAAGTGTACTAATTTATATTCAACAACTATGCTGTAATGTTATTGAACACATGTTCCGAGGTGATCCTACACTCACAAGAGAATTATTTCTTGTTTTGAATTCGGTATCCAGAAGTTTGTTCTCATTCATATCTTATACACAAATGTAATAAATTATTTCTTGCTCTATCTATTTAGGTATTGTGTTATTTAATATTTACTCTTTATTATTTCTTACTTTAGGCATTCGAGTCATACCACCAACAAGAATAACTTCATTAATATCTGATACTTTAACATCTGCATCTTTAATAGCTTTTTTACATGGATCTAAAATGAAAGATAAATTCTTGATTTACGAAGAAAACAAAAAAAAAAACAAACCAAAATTTATTCTTACCAACAGTTCGTTTAATTAAATTAGCAACAAGATTTTCAAACTGTGCACGAGTTATTTTCATATTCATATGTTTTGGACCTGATTTATCCATTGTTAAATAAGGTAAATTAATATCTGTCTATATAAAGAAAAAATTCAATTTGAATTTCTCAAAAAAAAAAAAAAAAAAAATTTCTATTCTTACTTGTGCTGCAGATGATAATTCACATTTTGCTTTTTCAGCAGCTTCTCTTAAACGTTGCATTGCTTGTGGATCTTTTGTTATATCAATACCACTCTTCAAAAAAAAAACAAAACACATATTTATTTCATTCAACTTAAATTTTTTGTTTTTGTTTTACCTCTTTTTTAAATTCAGCTACAAGATGTTTAAGTAAAGTATTATCAAAATCTTCACCACCTAAAAATGTATCACCATTTGTTGAACGTACTTCAAATACATTTGATTGCATTTCAAGTACTGATATATCAAAAGTACCACCACCAAGATCATATACTGCAATACTAGAAGAATAAAAGAATTTCATTTATATTATAAAACTAGGTTTTTGTTTATTTTACATTTTATCATTTGTTTTTTCAAGACCATAAGCAAGTGCAGCTGCTGTTGGTTCATTAACAACACGAAGAACATTTAAACCAGCTATTTGACCAGCATCTTTTGTTGCCTAAAAAAGAATTTTTTTCGTTTTATTTTGTTATTTAAATTAACAAACTTGTCGTTGTGAATCATTAAAATAAGCTGGAACAGTAACAACAGCATTTTTAACTGGTGAACCATAATAATTTTCAGCTGTTTCTTTCATTTTTGTTAAAACAAAAGCACCTATTTGACTTGGTGAATACATTTTACCATTAGCTTCAACCCATGCATCACCATTAGATGCACGTACAATTTTAAATGATACTGTTTGCCTAATTAAAATCAAACCTTTGTTTTTTTTTGTTTTTAAAAATTAAAAATTTTTACATTTCTTTTTTAACTTCTTCATCATTAAATTTTCTTCCAATAAGACGTTTTGTTGCATAAAATGTATTTTGAGGATTTGTTACTGCTTGACGTTTAGCAGGCATACCAACAATACGTTCATTATCTTTTGTAAATGCAACTACTGATGGTGTTGTTCGCATACCTTCAGCATTTTCAAGTACTTTAGGTGTTTTGCCCTCCATAATAGCAACACATGAATTTGTTGTACCTAAATCAATACCAATAATATGACCTTTGACTTTGCCACTACCAGCTTTAGATACATCTTTCGAATCACTAAATATATGTATTTATAAATGATTGATTGATATTTTTAAAAAAATCTACCTTTTGTGACGAATACTTTGTCCTTGAATTGTTGCCTAAGATAAAAAATTAAATAAAATTAAGAGAAGAAAAAAAAAATTTTACTCGAATTATTGAAGATTGTTCATGATTACTTCGTGGTGTTAAATGTTTTAAACATGTATTTAAAACTCGTTGACGAACGAACATTTTACTAAATGATCTGAAAGAAAAAGTACATTCTTTTTATTTATGATGTAATATGTACTACATAAATCTACTAGAAAATCAAGATTTTATAGAAAATATGAGATGTCATGGTGAATGAATATAGAAACTGATTGAAAGTAAATAACGATAACGATTGGTACGTCAGGAATTGCAGATAAGTAATAAACAAATAAAATAAAAAAATGATGATTCCTTCTCATTCCTCCATCGAAAGAACTACTCAAAACACAAGAACTTGTTAAATAATTTTGATAATTTTGTTGTTTGTTTTTTAAAAAAAAGATAATCTGTACAATAATGTTTTCTTAATAAAGAAAACAAATGTTTAATATTAAAATACGATAAACCGAAAAAAAAATTTCAAAGATTATTTTTGTAGATGTCGTACTCAGACGGTTAATACGACGAAGCATTATTTTTAATGTAAGAAATAGAGATGTGCCGAACCGGAACAATTAAAGGTTATAGTTAAATATTCAAATGAATTATATTATAGATTATAATTCAAGAGAGATGGTCTAGTCGTCGACAAATTGAATTTTTAATAAAAATAAACCTAAATTCGAATTGTCATTTCCTTGAAGAGATTTCTTCGTTGGACCTTACACTAAGACAACCTAGATTTCAATTGGATATACTCGTGAATTCTACAACTTCTTAGATTCAATTAAATTTAAACATAACTCAATATAAATATAGAAGATCAGTTCTATATTCTGATCTTTTTCGATTTTTTTTAATGTTATTAAATGTTTTAAGAACTCTGGTGAGTTTGACCAAAGTATCAACTTTTCCTGTCATTCAATAAGGAAAGAATTCATTACTTTGATTTTAGTTCTTCTCGCAGAACAGAATACTTCATCTTCATACTAAATATAGAAATGAAAATCAAATAAGTAAAGTACAATATTCATTGCACCTATGCATATGTTCTTGCTTTGCTTATACTCTTCAGCAATAATGCATATAATAGCATTCTTCTGTATGGAAAAAAGGATTTTGGTGTGCTGGAGGTACAGTCACATATTATTTGCAATTGAATGACATCACTTCAACGCACATTTTTATGTGATAATATTTGAATTTAGTCGATTAGAAAGAGAGAGTTTCAAAAAAATCAGGTCAATCTACATTGATGAAAAATCTCCAACTACTGACCGAATGACATGACTTGCAATTGAGGACACCTTTCATCTTCGTTTTACTAGCACTCATCGATGAATCGAACAAAAAAAAAACTACATGTACGTCATCCCTACGTAGGATTTCGTTGTGTGAGAAGTAGAACACATGTTCGTTTTCAAGTCGATATATTATGACAAGGATAACAAAAACATGACTGTCCTTAGTGTTTTTTTTCTTAGTTGATACAATCCGATTATGGCAATGAAGTTAATACTTGTACTTATATGTGTGTCATTACATACATTTACTCATGGTTTTCAATGTCCAGACGATGGCCTCTTTGCTAATCCACAAGATGAACATTCCTTCTATCAATGTGCACACGACATATTTTATTTGATGAAATGTCCAGCTGGATTAGTTTGGAATCAACAAATAAATGTTTGCGATTGGAATACTTCTAAACGTATGTCGATTCTTATTTTGATTTGTGTCCTAAATAAAATAGTTTGTTTTGTTTAGCTACTATCAATTGTGATCATGAGAACCAACGCAATTGTCGTGAAACGACTCAGTGGGCAACAAAAGGAATTCCTCTTGTTGGTCGTGACAGAGAATTTGGCTACGATGGATTCCATTTAGGCTCACCGTTCAGCGTATATGTTGATCGTGAACGCAGCAATGTTTATATTGCTGATACTGGAAATCATCGAGTTCAGAAGTTCAATCTCAAAGTCATCGGCAGTGCTGGCATTACTGTGGCGGGTGGCAATAAACCTGGTAATGGATCAAATCAATTAAATATGCCTTGGGCCATTTATGTTGATAAGAATGAAAATGTGTATGTAGCCGATACTGATAATTCTCGTATTCAAATGTGGGCAAAAGGTGCAACCAGTGGCGTCACCGTCGCTGGAGGAAATGGCAAAGGTAGAGGTCTGAATCAGATAGGTGCTTGTCAGGGTATTTTTGTTCATGAAGAAACCAACGCATTATATATATCGGACTTTTACAATGATCGTATCGTTAAATGGATTCCTGAGAAAGGTGAAGGTGTAATCGTAGCAGGCATCAATGTAGGAGGGTCGGCAGCAAATCAACTAAGTGGACCACGTGGGATCTTTGTCGATGAATGCGAAACGATCTACATTGCCGATTTATGGAATAATAGAATACAAAAATGGAAGAAAGACGCAATCGAAGGTATAACTGTAGCCGGAGGTAATGGACAAGGTTCAGGTGTTAATCAACTGAGTAGTCCTTGGGATGTCGAAATCGACCAGTATGGTAATATTTATGTCGCCGATACTGACAATAATCGCGTTTTGAAATGGGCTCCAGGTGCAACCAGTGGTGTAGTAATAGCCGATGGGAACGGATGGCTTACAGATTCCAACAAATTCAGCGGTGTTTACAGCATAGGTTTGGACAAGGAAGGAAATTTGTTTGTAGTCGAAAAAAACAGTCATCGACTTCAACAATTCAACATCATGTCAGGAACGAATAATTGTTGATGTTTTCAGATATTTCTATTCTTAATGAAAACTTGAACTTTCCATTGATGGCATTCTTTCTAAACAACATGTAACGTGAGGTATAAAATACGGGATCGAATGAGTGTTTACTCTAAAAGTTGTTAATCATTAATTCTATTCAATTGTATCGAGAAAAACAATGAACTATGAGATCAATGATATGATCTCTAGTTTGCCAGGAAGATGATTCTATTTAACATGTGAACAAGTAAAAATATGGTTAATTTTCACACCAACACCTTCTTTTTCCTCTACAAAGTGACTAAAAGGTTTTGAGAAGGGCTACTTCGAAGACAATAAGTTATTGACATTGTTTATTTCGAAAGTCTTGTCCTTATTGTAGTTTATTCGTTACCATTACTAGATTTCCAGTGGATCCAAAGACTTTAGCTAGATGTCGACGCATTTCGATGAATTCTCTCGGTTCACAAGGATTGTCATCAGCACTAGAAAACGATCATAGTGCAAGAACAAACGTGTATCTTTTTTCGGGATAAAAACTTTCGATCATATAATGTCAAATTTTGTTTTTGTTTTGATAAAGTATTAGACAATGGAAAAATAAGATACAAAACACTGCTATTCAACCTACCCCATCTGTTGTTTTATCAAAAATGTGCTAAATAAAACTTTAAAGAGCAGATTATCAATGCATTAAAGAAAACATGTAAATCGTTTGAACGGCTCAAACATTATCCACATTCGCTTTTCGACCAAACTTTTGAAACATCCTATAAAATCACTGGAATCGGAACCGAAAAAGCTTTGTCCCGCACGTCTTTACTTGAGTCTCTGTGAGAATATTGAATAACTACAGAAGAACTGTGACATGTGCTTATTTACTCAAAAAGCTCTACGAAAAACATCCATGTTCAATCTATCTTATTGTATAGAATGTGGCTGATTTCCTCTATGTGTTTACTCTTCATTATAGGTTTTGACCCTTGGTGTCGGATATAACATACATGCTAGTATATAGAATTTGATTATCTGTCGTCTTCATCTGCAGATAGTCAATTTATTCGATGTTTTGAGTATGTTTTATCTAATTTTGACTTCTGTTGGTTAAATTATTGTTATTCTATCGATGGCTCTTCTACAACAACGAAACACTCGTGATTTAGCCTATTTTTGTACTATTATTGGAACATTGTTTCATATTCATGCTTTGATCGCCTCCTATATTCGACAACTTGCTTCTAAAGCTTTTCTTCGTTATTATCAGTTATGATTTGATGATGAAATAGAAACTTGGACACTTTTAAGGGTGTGCATGAGGACGAGTGTCTTACTCCGTCCTCACTCAGTTACTTTCAAATTAACAGTGAGAAAAAATGACTGGATATGAATATTTTAGACCAGAACCCAAAACAGGCCTGAGACCAAATATGAAGTTAACAACCTAGATTGTTCAATATAACATCACTGCTAATTACACATTGCTTGAACACAGAAACAGGCTTCTCGGTTATGGATGAGTTCATGGTAAATTCAGGAAGAAATTTGACTGATTCACCCTTCTTGCCGTTTTTCTGATAGAAAATTGATTAAAAACACTTTCTATCAACAAAATCTCCCAGAAACTCAATGAATTTATCATTTTTCTGGGCAAGTTCTGTCGGAAGCTGATATGTCCTATTTTCTCTCAAACTTTTATCTCCTTTCACTTTACAAAACAATTGGAAATTCTGAGGATACTAATTGTTTTTTCTTCTATATCTGAACATCATTATCGTTTCCTAATCCTTTCTCATTTCTTTCTCAAATATCGACCATTCATTTGCTAAATTTCTTTATTTTAAATGTCACTGCGAATTATATTGGAAGAAAATTGTGATTGAATGAAACTTGAAAATCAAGCAATAAACTGAGTATTGATGAAAAATTCTCATCTTTTTTTTACGAACAATGATTTGAAAATTGATATTAATCCTTGTGTAGAGTCGTCGTCGAATTGACTAAGTTGGCAATGATGTTGAAGAATAAGTAAGCGATCACCTTTATGAAATGATTTTATATGATAATCAATTGAATCATCGAAAGAGAACTGTTTTTTTCCTGACAGATATTAGATTATGATATTCGTCAGCGATTCTATTTTTGGATTTGATGAAACAATTTGAAAAATGGCAAGACAAAGGTTTTCGATAATGAATTCATCGAACTATTGATCATGTGGATTTTCATGTTCATCACTGTGCATATTTCGGTTGATTAGGTAGCGAAACTTGTTACAAACCAACTTGATTCAACTTAGGATTGAAGTGATCCTAAAAAAACAATTAAATCTTGTATGTTAATTAATAATATCAAAGTAATATTTGGTGAAATTCCTATCCATAGAACGAATATAAATGAAATATTCATGGAAAAGATCTATGTATTTGGATAGTTTTCAGTATTAAAGAAATTGTTTCAGTACTGGTTGTGATGGACAAATGAAAATATCGAATAACAGGATGCGAATAAGGTCGAAGTTGAATTGATTGCTCACTTACCTCCTATACAACAGTAAATCAACGATCTACGACCATAGAGCAACTCTTGTTTTATC